AATAAATAAAATCTTTAAAAATATATATATATATTCTTAACCAGATTTTAAAAATAAAAGCAACATCAGAATAATAATAAAAAAAAAGCCTCTCCAAAAGAGGCTGTGTCTGTCAAATAAATAAACAAAATCTTAAAAAAAAAAAACTGAAAGGCCAACTGTAAGTTGCTGCAAAATGTCATCTGCTTTTCTTTGGAGAATGAGATTTGGGTGATTTTTTTTTTCTTTTTTGCATCTTCCTATAGTTTACAAAAATAGTAAATGTTACATGTCTACCTTCCAAATGAAAAGAACCATAATTTTTCCAGATTATAAAAGTAATATGTGGGTTCCAGTTCTGATATGACGCTGAACTTGAACCACTCCAGGAATGAGTCTCAGGTGTCTTTCACTCAGGTGCAGCACCATTGCAAATCTGAGGAACTTGTGAAGGTTAATTGTATGTATCAACTTGACTTCATTAAGGGATGTCCAAATAGGGGTGTCTCTTAGGGATGTCTCCTGGGGTGTCGTCTCCAGAAGAAATTAGCATTTGAATCAGTAGACTGAGTAAAGATCACCACCTACGTGGGTGGGCATCATCCAAACCGCTGAGAACCTGAATAGAACTATTTAGCTGGCGGGGGCAGACTTGAGGGAACCGAGTTTCTCTGAATCCCCACCTCAGCGGAGAGGGCTAATAACAGAAGCAGATCTGTGACCGTGAGGGTGAAATTCCCCTTTCTTGCGTGCAAGGCCACCTGGGGTGTGTTTTTTTTTAAAAAAGACTACATTTCCCAGCCTTCCTTGCGGAAGGTCATCCTGGCCAATGATATGTGAGCAGTCGGTCACGTGGCAGCTTCCGGGACTTTCTGAGAGACATCCCTGCACTTAATTTCTCCCGCCTTCATCCCTTCATCCATGCGCTCCCTGGAGTGCGGCGGACAGGATCGCGGAGAACGTGGGCCACACCCAGGGAGGGGTGGGGAGAAGCCTGCACCCCTAAGGACTTTGGAGCACAGAGCTGCCCCGCCACCGCTGAACAGCCCACCGGCCTCCTCCTTTCAAATGAGAGGGAAACAAGCTTCTCTCTTGTTTAAGCCACTGTTCTTTCTGTTTTGCTGTTACAGCCGAACCTAATCTTAAATAATTATAGAGCCAAGGGAGGAGGTAGCGGGTTAGCGGGTCCCCGTGGGTGAGGGGGCAGAGCCGGAGGGGTGTATTCGGAGCCGCAGACTGAAGGCCGGGGGAGAAGAGAGGAGCGGGGACCACTTGTGAACAGAAGGTCGCCTGTCCGGAGGATTTTCAGGCCCGGAAAGGGTTTGAAGGGTCAGACACTATGCAGCAGAAGGGGTGGGGGGGTGGTAGAGAGGTGCGGCAGGGTAACCGGAAACCAACGCACCCACCCTCGGAGGCCTGCACCGTTCCCACCCAGGCTGAGGGGGAAGAAAGGTGAGGGAGGAATTGTACCATTAACCCGTTTTGGGGTTTTCATTTCTACCCAGGGCTAGACATTCTGATTACTGATCTCGGACCAAATCGGCCACTTAAGTGATCACAAGCTTTAGACGAGATCAGAGCGAGCAACTGAGGCAGGCGACCCACCAGCGTTCTCATGGTCTTGGGGCACAGATGATCCGCACCCTCTGCAGCCCTCCCACCCCACTTCATTCATCCACCTGACAAATATTTTCTGAGCATAGACCAGGTGCCAGGAACTGTTGTAGGTGGTGACCCAGGGCAGTGAACAGAGCACCAGAGGCCCTGCCCTCATGGAGCTGACATGCTAATGGAGGAGACGGGTGCCACACAGGATAAAAAATCAAAATAAAAAAATACCGAGTATGTTATGTAGTGATCAGTGCAAAGGAAACAAAGCTGAGAAAGGGGACGGGAAGTAGGGGGTTAATTCCAGTGAGGGCTGCTAGGGAAGGCCTCACTAAAAGGCAACATTTCTATAAAGACTAAAAATTGTTAGAGGGGCACAGGGAAGAGAAAATACAATCGTGTCTTGATGATGTCACTTACTGGGTACAACCATGCAGCAGCGGCGTATGTGTGACAGAATGGGAATTGGCTCCACAGTCCCACCGGCTAGGGTGAAGTGTCTGGGGCAGAGATTGACCGTGACCCTGTGTAGGATGCGCCTTTCAGCCCAGCTCCAGATCTTAAGTATGGCCAAGAATGGGGCCATGTGTCACCAGCCCTGGGCAGCATCAGTGACACCTCCTCTCAGGCTGGACAGCGCTATCTGGGAAGGAGGTTAGCTCCCAGAGATTGTACAGTCTCCTGTGTCTGGCCCTGTGGCATCAGGGGCTGGGGACAGCACAGCGAGACCATGCTCCTGCCCCACCCGAGCCCACCACCTCTGCCATTTTCCACTCCCGACAGGCAGTCTGATGGGGTTTTTCCAAGCTAGGCCGGTGGCCTGACCCAGCAGGGGCCGTGAGGACAGGGCAGGGACCAATCCTGGACAGTCAGGGGAGATGAGGTGTGTCCCTGAGCCCCCATAGCTGGGGCTGGGGTTCGGGGGTCAGGGAGCAACTTTGCCAGGAGCAGGCAGAGGTCAGGTTTGGGAAAGTCAGCCATGCCCTCACCCCATATCCTGTTTTTGGAATGTGGGGCCCCAGCACATGCTTTCCTTTGGACTTTGTCCAAGGCAGTGTCTCCCCACCCAGGCCCACTCCCAAGGGAACTCTGCATGACGGTGGGCAGGGTTCCCCGGCACATCCATCATTAACCTAGGGTTTTTCCAGGCTGGGCTGGGCCCCTGAGCCAGTATGGGTGAAGGGCTCGTTTCCCACCCCTTCCTGAAATCAGGTCAGGGGGTCCCTGTCAACACATGGAAAATTATACAGGCCCCCTGGCTGAAGGGAAGAGGAAATGTCGTGGAGGAGGAGAGTCTTGGCCTCCCCACTCAGAGCCGGGCAGGCATGGTCCACTTCCAGTGTCTGGCCCACCAGACCCAACAAAAGCCCTGGGAATTGTCAGGCCCTGGGAAACCCAAGCAGGCTAGAGGGAGAGCAGTTCCATGATGGGCTCAAGTGCGTGGGCTCCCAGCCAGTCAAGCCAGGCATGAGACAGGGACCAGCTATTTACATGCTGTGTGACTGTAGGCAAGTGGCTGAGACCCTCCGAGTCTCATCTTCCCTCCTGCCAGGGTCATCAAGAGGATTAAATGTGCTAATTTGTGTGACAGGCTCAGCGCCAGGCCTGGTAGAGAGCAGGTGCACAGGTGGAGGGGAATGGTGTGTGTGTTGGGTGGATTCCTAGAAAGGCCTACAGGGGATGAACAAAATGTCTCAACCTGAGGGCGTCCCCTCCCTGGCCACTCAGGTCATCATGAGTCATCCTAACTCTTCCCCTAAGGGACAGCTTCTCCTGCCACCTAGAGTCATAGGATGTGATTCAGAGCCTCCTAGAAGTCTATTTTTCCCATTATAAAATAACATGCTTATTATAATAAATCTGGAAATTATAGAAAAGCAGAAAGAAAGAAAAAGCTTTTATTTAACCACCAATGCTGACCACTCTTGATGCCTTAATGGTTTCCATATGGGATTTTTTTTTCTGGGCACAGGTTTTCTTTGTTCTCCGTAATATGACTGGGATCTTCGCTTTAAGACATAGAGCTGGAAGGAAACTTGGAGGTCAGATGGCTCAGCATCCTCAGTTGACAAGCCAGGAGACTGGCCCAGAATTGCTCAGTGACTTGTCCAAGGCCATTAGTGACAGAGCTGCTGCCCCCAACTCAGCCCCAAACCTCTCTCCAGCCTCAAAGGCGGCAGTCAGTTGATAGTGGATCTAGGCCTTCCAGTTTGAGGGAATCTGTTCCATGGGCTTCCATAACCTCCCCCCTCAAAAAGGGTTGGTTCTGGTTAACCCCCTCCCCCATTCCCAAAAGGAGACACCGCAGTGGGATGGGGGTAGGAGTGGGTTAGGGAGAAAGGGAGGGCTGGCAAAGCCCAGCAAGGGGCATGGCCCTGTGTCTGTTCCCAAGGGTGGAGCCAGCCAACAGGGCCACCCTGTCCCTTTAAGAGAAGGGGGAGAGCAAGCCCCTCTCAGCGATTCTGTCCTGTCATCTGTCCTGGCCAAATCCAAAAGGGAACGTGAAAGAGGGTCTAGGAGGAACAAGTCCCAGCCATCTCCCAGGATCCCTCCCTCGGCTCTAACACCTCAGCTCCAGCTCCAGGGTGAGTGGGGTCAGGTGAGGGTCTGGGGGGCGCCAGGGGGCTGTGGGACCCGTGGGACCCATGTGAGTGTGTGTGTGTGTGTGTGTGTGTGTGTGTGTGTGTGTGTGTGTTGGGGGAGGTTCTCAGGAGATGTGGGAGCCTGGAAGCTGAGGGACACCAGGGAGGAGATGGGAGAGGGCTGGGCCCGTATTCCCACCACTCTGCGGTGGGACGGCAGCGGACACCTGGAACAAAGGATAGAGTTAAGGAAGTGGGACTACTTTTGTGTCCACCCCCAATTCTGAGAGGAGTTCACTGCAATAAGAAGGGCAAGAGAAATGGTGGGCAGAGAAAGGAGGTGAGGTCCCTCTGGGTCTACTGGCTCCCAGCTCTCCCAGGGGTACCAAGTTGGGTCTGGAGTCCTGGGTTGGAGGCACCATGGTTGCCCATGGAAAGCATCCTGGAGCACATAAGAGCACCCCTGGGTTTCTGCTTCTACAATGCGGTGGGCGGCTGCCCCTCCTGATGTCCAAGGTCACTCCTTACAGATCTGGACTCTGGAGGAGCCAGCGGTCCAACCAAGCAGGCCCATGGGGGTCTAGAGCTAGAGCACGACGGTGGGGCTCCTCCCCCGCACCTGTCGGTCCCAAGGAGAAGGGCACCCACAGTGGAGAATCTCCTAACCCCTCCTGACCCCCACCTCACCCCCGACTCCCGAGTTCCCACAAAATCCCAGCTAAACCCAGGCCTCACTGAGCCCCTGCCTCGCCCCAAAGTTAGAGGAGGGCCAGCTGACCTCATCCCATGGGCTGGGGCGGGGGGAGGGGGAGTGGGGGGGACGCTGATGGGGCCGGCCTCTGACGCCCCCGCGTCCGCAGCGCCATGGGCGAGTGGGCGTTCCTGGGCTCGCTGCTGGACGCCGTGCAGCTGCAGTCGCCGCTCGTGGGCCGCCTGTGGCTGGTGGTCATGCTGATCTTCCGCATCCTGGTGCTGGCCACGGTGGGCGGCGCCGTGTTCGAGGACGAGCAGGAGGAGTTCGTGTGCAACACGCTGCAGCCGGGCTGCCGCCAGACCTGCTACGACCGCGCCTTCCCCGTCTCGCACTACCGCTTCTGGCTCTTCCACATCCTGCTGCTCTCGGCGCCCCCCGTGCTCTTCGTCATCTACTCGGTGCACCGGGCCGGCAAGGAGGCGGGCGGCGCGGACGCCGGGCCCGGGCCGCCCCCGCGCCGGCGCTGCTACCTGCTGAGCGTGGCGCTGCGCCTGCTGGCCGAGCTGGCCTTCCTGGCGGGCCAGGCGCTGCTCTACGGCTTCCGCGTGGCCCCGCACTTCGCGTGCGCCGGCCCGCCGTGCCCGCACACCGTGGACTGCTTCGTGACCCCGCCCACCGAGAAGACCGTCTTCGTGCTCTTCTACTTCGCCGTGGGGCTGCTCTCGGCGCTGCTCAGCGTGGCCGAGCTGGGCCACCTGCTCTGGAAGGGCCGCCCGCGCGCCAGGCGCTGTCGCCAGGGGGCCGAGCGCGACGGCCGCCGCCACCGCGCGCGCGAGGAGGCGGGGCAGCTGCGCCCGCCGCCCCCGGTCCCGCCCTCGCGGCCCCCGCGCCCGGACCCCTGCGGCCCGCCCGCCTACGCGCACGCGGCCCCCGCCGGCGACAGCGAGGGCGGCAGCGGCCGCAGCAAGGCGTCCCTGGCCACCGTCCGCCAGGACCTGGCCATCTAGAGGCGGGCGGAGGGTGCTTCCGCGAGAACTGGCCCCACGAGCCTGCCCGAGCGCTTCCCGGGTGCTCTCGGTTGAGCTGGTGAGGGGCCGGGGGATGAACGGAGGCGGGTCCGGATGCCCTCCCCGATCCAGGTGGCGGGGAAGGAGGCCCGGGACTGAGAGAAAGGGCACAGGAGGGCCTAGCGGAGAGGAACGTGGAGGTTCGGGTGGTGCTCAGAAAAAAGTCATCGCGATACCAGCTTCCCGCGCGCGGGCCTCTCCTCGTTCAGACTGAGGTGTGGCCCGGGTGCGGGCTCCCTATGTGTGTGCACACATGTACACGTATGTATAGTGTGAGCTGTGTGTGTGCATGTGTGTACGCGCAGGTGCATCCTATGTGGGCTCGCTGTATGTGCATGCGTATGCCCTGTGTGGGTTCTGTATGTGCATGCATCTGTATGCCCTGGGTGACTGCATGGGGGAGAGAGAGAGAGAGAGAGAGATCTGATAAGGTGCCAGCAACAGGCGCAATGGCTCCCCCCTTACCTGCAGGGGTATTGTAGGAAGCTCTCCCCGCTTAATGGAGCCCACACAGGGAGGAGAGAGGTGCCCCTTCACCCTGGGCAGGACTCCGTGTGGAAGGGCTTGTGGGCACCATCCACACCCTCGACTGTGTGGCCTGGGCAGGGTGGCCAAGCGGTCCCTTTTGTTGGAAGTAGAGTGGGGGTGGGCAGTAGGGTCAGAAGGCAGGACTCTGTCCTAGCTTCGCTCCCTCACCCTGCGGCTGTTCCCCAAGTCCACACATACGGCCAAGTTCCTTCCATCCTTGAAAGAAATCTGCCCCAAAACGTGCCCCCGGCCCTGCATTTCCTTGCAGCCATCTTCCCTCCTGGGGGCAAGCAAAGAGCAACCTACGTGGCTTCCTCTTGTCCCCTTTCTGCCCCTTCTCCGCCCCTATCTGTCTTCTTCCCTTGCCACCCCAGTGGGGCTGCTCTCCTGAAGATCACCCAGGACCTAAGTGACATCCAGGGGCCACCATCTGACGCTGCCCTGGGCTCTATCCAACCCTGCTGAGCAGGCCACCACCACCCACCCTGCCTGATTTTCTCCTAGTCCTCCTGCTTATGCCCTCTGGGGCTCCCTGTCATCGGGGTAAGTCCAGCACCCGAATGAGGCTTCTGAAGTCCCGCCCTGTCCAGTCCTGCCCCAGCCCCATGGCCTGGGCTTCCTACGGTTTCTGTGCTCCAAACCATACTGAGTTTTCTTTTCCTGCCAGGCACAGTGCCCCATCTCCTTCCAGATGTTTGAACATGCTGTTTCTTGGCCTGGAGGAGCCTGCCTCTCTGCAGCACCCTCTCCCCACCCTAGCTAATACCTACCTACCTTTTGGTCTCATTTGGGAAGAAATAGATGCCGTCCCTCACAGCACCCACCCCCAAGGCGGAACTAGACACCCCGTGGCACCCATGCCTCCCCAGGCATAGCTTGCCTGCTGGATGGCATTGCTCGCCCCTCCACACTGGCGCAGAGGAGGTGGATAAGGGCTTATCCACACTCGTGGTGTGCAACATTTCTCTGATGATGGTCAGCTATGTGTGCAAAGCCTGGGCCTCCAACAAACTCAGAAGTGGATATCCAGCTGTTTTCCAGATGTATTCATTCAAGGAATATTTGTTGAGCACATACTATATGCCAGGCAATGTTCAAGACCAGCGCTGTTCAATAGAAATAGGATGTGAGCCACATGTGTAATTTTAAATTTTCCAGTAACCACATTAAAAAATAAAAGGAAACAGGGATGCCTGGGTGGCTCAGTCGTTGGGCATCTGCCTTCAGCTCAGGTCATGATCCCAGGGTCCTGGGATTGAGCCCCGCATCGGGCTCCCTGCTCGGGCGGGAAGCCTGCTTCTCCGTCTCCCACTCCCCCTGCTTGTGTTCCCTCTCTCGCTGTCTCTCTCCCTGTGTCAAATAAATAAATAAAGATCTTAAAAAAAAAAAAGTAAAAGGAAACAGATGAAATTAATTTTAATAACATTTTCTTTAACCCATTGTATCCAAAATGTTATTTCAACACATCATCGATATTAAAAAAAAAAGTATTAAGGAGATACTTATTTTGTCTTTGTACTAAGTATTTGAAATCTGGTGTGTGTTGGGGCGCCTTCCCTGTTCTGCGGGAAGACTGCTTCTCCCTCTTCCGCTTCCCCTGCTTGTGTTCCCTCTCTCGTTGTGTCTCTCTTGTCAAATAAATAAACAAAACCTTGAAAAATATATATTAAAAAAATCTGGTGTGTATTTTATGCTTAGAGCACATCTCAATTTGGATCAGCCACATTTTTTTAATGATTTTGTTTATCTATTTGAGATATTGAGATAGAGAGAGTGACAGAGAGCATGCGCAAGGAGGAGAGGGAGAAGCAGGCTCCCCACTAAGCAGGGAGCCCGCCATGGGACTCGATCCCAGAACCCTGGGATCATGACCTGAGCCAAAGGCAGATGCTCAACCTACTGAGCCACCCAGCGCCCAGAACCAGCCACATTTTTAAGACTCAGTCACCACATGTGGCTAGTGACTGCTGTATTGAACAGAGCAGATCCAGATGTTGGGCTCCAGTGGTGAATAAAACCTGCCTTCATAAAGCTTACATTCTGGTGGGAAAGCAGGCAATAGAATATACTGCCAGGTATCGCTCAAAGTAAGGCAAGACAGTTACTATCGGTGGGGAGTGACACTGGAACAGAGAGTAGCAAAGAGCTAGCTGTGAAGCTGGCTCCAGGAAGAGCATTCTGGGTGATGGGAATGACAAGTGCAAAGGCCCTGAGGCAGGAATACGTTGAGGGTTGTTTGAGGCCAGTAAGGAGGCCCGTGTGGCTGGAGTGGAGTAAGGGATAGGAGGGAGGGTCACCAGCACCTCAAATGCAACCCCAACTGCCTTAGTTTCCCATCTCCGTGCTGCTGTCTCCATCCATCCAGGCCACCCCCACCCTCTACTGCCAAAGCCTCTCTTCTGCCTGCCTCCCATGTCCTGTCAATCACCTGGTCCTCCCATTTTGCCACCTAAGCATTTCCTCCCCTAATCCGCTCTCACCCTTTGGGGGCTGCCCAGGGTCAGCCCTGTCCCCGGTGGCCTGGAGTGCTCCCACAGCTTCTGCTCTGCTCCCTACAATTCCATTCTGAACAGCTCACTGGCTGGCTTGAAATCCTTCACTCCCATTGCCCTCAGGGTCAAGTCCAGCTCCTGAACCAGCCCTGGCCTGAGCCTATCCCAGCCTCTCCAACTTACTTCTTCCAGCATTCCAACCAAAATGGTTAAAGCACAGAGCTGGTGACAGTTTCTGATCACATGAAGCTATTTATCACCTCTGTTTATCACATCTGGCTAACTCTTTCCCTTAGACCTTCAGCTGGGAGGGGGCACCTCTTCCAGGAAGCCTTCTGAAACTTGCCCCAGGCCTGGTTAAATGCCCTGTGCTCCCATAGACCCAAGACTTAGTCACTGCCTTCCCCAGCTTGTACCCCAGTCACCGTCCTTGGGTCAGTTTCTCCTATGGAGGAGGGGACCGGACCCTGTGCAAAACACATGTCAAACCTCAGTGATCAGACTCCACAGCGGGGTTCTCAACTGGGCAGTTCTGCCCTCCAGGGACACTTGGCAATGCCTGCAGACATATTAGGTTGTCATAGCTGGGGGGAAGGTGCAACTAGCATCCAGTGGGCAGAGACCAGGGATGCTGCTAAACACCCTACAATGCACAGGACAGCCCCCCCCCAACCCCAACAAAGAATCCCTGGGCCCAAAATGTCAATTGTGCTGTGGTTAAGAAACTGCTCATCAACAATGAACTGTGAGCCTCAGAGGGCAACCTCAAGCCCCAGGGTCAAGGGTACTACCCTGGGGTGAGGGGGCACTCTGTAAATTCGGGGCGACTGCTCTAGTTGCCACAATGAGGGCGACTCTCTTGGCGTTTGGTAGGTAGAAGCTAGAAATGCCAAGATGCCCTCTTGCAATACAGAATTATCACGCGTGGGGGCGCCCGTGGCTCAGTCGGAGGAGCATGTGACTCTTGATCTTGGGGTGGTGAGTTCGAGCTCCAAGATGGTTGCAGAGCTTACTTTAAAAAAGCCGGGGGGGGGGGCGCCTGGGTGGCTCAGATGGTTAAGCGTCTGCCTTCGGCTCAGGTCATGATACCAGCCAGGGTCCTGGGATCGAGCAAGCCCTGCATCATGTTCCCTGCTTAGCGGGGAGCCTGCTTCTCTCCCTCCCTCTGCTTCTCCCCCTCCCTCTGCTTCTCCCCCCTGCTCATGTTCTCTCTCTCTGTATCTCTGTGTCTCGAATGAATAAATTTAAAAAAAAATCTTAAAAAAAAACAACCTGATTCTGTTCTACATGTAAAATATTAGGTGTTTGTGGATTTTTGGGGGGGGGGACATGGTTTTATTATACATTGTCAGCTTTTATTTCAACATTCACCCATATTCCTTAAGTTTCCCGGGCTTCTTGTAGAGAATGGCTTCCAACCTTACTTCTTTTAAATGCCAATATATTAGGACGATATCCTATCTGCCTTAACACACTGAAATTCATAGACCTTTCCCTTCAGCTACAGCTACGCCACAGTGTGATAGAAGAGTGATTTTTGTAAAGCACGTGGGTAGGTGTGTTATGTCAAATTTCTGTCAGATACATAAAGAAAATGTTAGAAAAAAATTGCTGGAGGACGAGAACCTCTGTCCCCGCGCACACTCTGGCCGCCCAGACGGCGAGATAAGTGAGGAGCTGCCGCCACCTGGTGGCTGAAATAGAAATGGCAGGCAGGCCCCTGCGGAAGGAGCTCTTCCTGCCTGGGAAATCTCTTCCCGCCCAGGCGCCCTGAGAACCCACCCCAGACACAGCCTTCACTGCCATCTCCCTGGAGCCCTCACACCTCAGTGCTTGACGCTTCTTTGGGGGCATCAGGGTTCCAGGAAAGACCTCTGGCTGAGAGGTGGGAACCCTGAGTACTGGGCCCCCATCTGCAATGAATTTGCTGTGTGCCCCTGGGCAAGGGCACTGCCCTCTCTGGGCCTTGATGTGTAGTGTGGAGAGTGGAGAGAATTGGTCTTTGATGCCACTACAGGCCTGCCACACTTGATCCTCTCAACCAGGAGCAACCAAGTTCCCTTGCAAGCTGTCTTCTCTGCCTCCTGCCCACAGAGTGACTTTAGGGCTTGGCAGGGGAGGGCAAGACAGTCCTTCTTGGACGCACAGGGACGGATGGGCTGGCTTTCTAAGGCCATCCCAATCCTACGTTCTTGTTAGGTTGCCAAGGGCTCCTGACCTGGGTACGCATGCCAACTGCCACTCCTGAAGGTCAAGTCCGGAACAGAACTCCTCTGCCACTTAGTGACCCCCAGGCCCAAGCTCTGGCTTCCAAGGGCTCAGGACTCTCTGAAGGCAGAGGCAGGCTTCCCCCCTCAGACCAAGATTCCCAGAGAGCTGGGGCTGGCTTCCTCCCTCAGACTGGGGACTCCCCGAAGGTGGGAACAGTTTCTCCTCTCCCCTCCCCACCTCCAACCTGGAGCTCCCTGACACGGGCTATGTAGACCCCTAGACAGAGGGCCTCCCGAGGGCAGGCCTATCTTGTTCCACCAAAGAGCCCAGCGCCGCAAGGCAGGCCCCGAAGGCAGCATAGTCCCGGTGCTCCTAGCTGCTCCTAGCCGCTCCCCCATCTCCAGCTCCCTGCCCACACGGTGGGAGAAGGCAGCGAGGCAGTGAGGCTCTGAGGCATGTGTAGAATAAATAGAACTTTATTCTTTATCCAGTAGATCTCAGTGGAAAGTCCAACAGTAACAGGTGCACCAGCGGGCTCTGGGGGGATGAGACCCCAACCCCGGGGCAAGGAGGGCAGGGCAGAACCAGCTCCCCCAGCCTGGGGGTGCAGGGGAAGAGGGGAGGGAACCCCCTGTAGGCCCGTCCTGCGGGGCAAGGAGGGGGCATGGGGATGTGGTGGGGAGCGGGGGGCAGGCCAGGGAAACAGAGGAACTCAGGCCAAGTGTGTCTGTTGGCCCATCGGTCCGCTGTGTGTGTGTGTGTGTGTGCGCGCGCGTGTGTGTGTGTGTGTGTGCGCGTGCGTGTGTGTCTGGGGGCCCTGTGGGCAGTGCTGGTGGCTGTGAGGCTGGGGGACAGGGGCAGCTTGAACTCCTTGGCCAGCCCCTTCACAGTGGGGGCTGGAGGGCTTAGATGATGGGAGAGGCAGCTCTGCCAAGTCCACAGGGCTGAGAAATACACACGAATATGTTCTGAGGGCTCCCCCCTTGCTTTGCCCCCTGCCCTTTCATGGTGGGCCCCCTCCTCCTGGGGGCTGCCTGAAACTGTCCATGCCCAGTGGTTAGGCAGAGGGAGAAGGGGAGGACAGACCTCGGAAAGTTAGTACTTCACAGTTTTAAAGAGAAAACTGAGGAGGAAAAGGCTGGGGAGGAGGGCTAGGGGGTGCAGGGACATGGAGAGTGTGGGAGCCCCTTGTGAGCCGCTCCCCTCCCCCAGGACCCACCCCCCTCCAGCTCTGGATCCAGCTCCCCCCAATACACAGCACAGATTCCTTCAGTATAAATGTGCTTAAAATGAAAATTCTTATTAAAAAAATCAAAACCAAAAAAAATTTAAAATAAAAACAAAACCAGCGAGAATTAATACCTGGGGGTTGGTACGGCAGGGTATGTACAGGGGGAACCCCCCCACCCCTGGCCCACCCCCTCTGTCACCAACCGAGGCAGGGGGGTTTCCCGACCGGGGGGCAATGGCTTGCGGGTTCTGAGTATGGG